TTGCCTTCCTTTTTGACTGACCACCCCAACTATTCTTCTCTTCATTATCCACGACAGTCAACTAATTACCAATTATGTACATTTTATGGCTATAAAACGTTGGGCCTGGTATAGTTCTTAAGGAATATATCAGGTCTTGACAACCCTATGAAACACATTGACAAACTTGACATCAAAATCTTTAAAATTTATCTTGTCGATTTTTTAAATCATATGAGTTATTATGTAATTCCCTTCCGTTTGATATCTCATTCATCGAAATCTATCGCACCAGGGAGCCGGTAAGGATCTATACCCTATTATATAGGTCTAGAGTAGATTCTGGGATCTCATTTAATTTTATATTCTGCTTATTACAATATGGTGAGAGTCCTCTTCTCTAAAAATATTCATATAATTTTTACATTTGTTCATGATCAAAGGAAACACTAATCCGATTTGCTGCTCAATGTTTTCAACACTAACTCCAATTTACTTCACCCTTTACAACGGCTCAAATTGACGATCCGAGCTTCCGGTCCCGCTGCGAATTTGTCGCTTTAGTAGTTTAAAGACAGGAAATATAAAAAAAAAAATACATAAAATATTAACAACGTTTAATGCCCGGATGAACCGCTCAATAAAAACAGTTGCACTCTTATTGAATGTGAGTCCTAAACCGTAATAGATGAATAAATTGGCTGTCGTTTGTACCCAACTCGTTTAATGCTCTTTTTTATGTGCTTCGAAGGTTTATTGGTAATTAAATTTTATTTTAAAAAATTTATTATTTAATACCGCATCACTGGTATCTTCGTTTTCAAATACATAAACAAGTGTTGGAAAGTTGTCAAACTGATTCCATGAGAACTTCCAATATATTTTTAATTATTAAAATAAACATGATTTCACGTTAAAAATTAGGTATTAGGTCAAAATACCACTAACATTAGACAAAAAGAACGCTTTATAGTAGAGGAGTATTTATAAATAATATTGACATTTCGAAAAGAGTACAGATTACAATATTAAACAAAATTATTGATACATATATTTTTTGAATGCACCGAAATATTTTTAAAACTAACATAAAATTGAAACTTTAAATATTGATTGACTGATAAAAAGACAATTTTCTATATATGAGACATTTTTAATATCAGATTTTTTCTTTCTTTTTTTTCTTGACTAATTTCGATTTTCGATAGACAAATTTTAATATCACTATTACGATATTTCAATATATTTATGTTTTTCTTGAAGTCTCTAACCTGAATTTCGCCAGCCCATTTCAAACTTAGTTAATGCATTCCTCCTTAATTGTTTATATTGTTAATCAAATTTTAAAAACATTTTTATCAGTTATGATTTATAAATATCAATGATAGTTTATCTTAATTTTATAATTGATTAATTAAAATATTTCAATATATAATTTTTAAATAATACTTGAAAGGTAATTTATAAAGAATTTGATAAAAGTAACTGTATAGTTGTTAATGAATAAGGTATGATAATACGAGACCGTTTTCTTCTTTTAAACCAAGACTTTAAAAACGGACATTATATCATCTTTAATCTAGTAATTTATATTAATTTATTTCATTTCGTTTATTCTAAACCAGGCATATAATATTAGAAACTAATTAAAATGGACATATCAAGTTTTTAATTAATTTTATAGCCATATATATACATTATGTTTATTTTTTTAATTATATTCTTCTTTAATTAAAATTAATAACAAATTGCAAAGATATAATATGAAATTCATTATATTCTTCTTCATTAAAACCCTACCTCGTTTAATTATTTATAAATGTTTAGTGAGTAATTTTTATTAATTTTATATAGTTGAAGTTCTTACCTTATTTTGATTTACAGAATAATCTGCTATTTTTTTTTTTTTTTTTTTTAATTTCTTTATTGAGTACAATATTAAACAAAATCAATAATTTTGTTTAATATTGTAATCTGTACTCTTTTCGAAATGTCAATATTATTTATAAATACTTCTCTACTATAGATAAAGCGTTCTATTTGTCTAATGTTAGTAGTATTTTGACCTAATACCTAATTTTTAACGTGAAATCATGTTTATTTTAATAATTAAAAATATATTGGAAGTTCTCATGGAATCAGTTTGGCAACTTTCCAACACTTGTTTATGTATTTGAAAACGAAGATACCAGTGATGCGGTATTAAATAATAAATTTTTTTAAATAAAATTTAATTACCAATAAACCTTCGAAGCACATAAAAAAGAGCATTAAACGAGTTGGGTACAAACGACAGCCAATTTATTCATCTGTTACGGTTTAGGACTCACATTCAATAAGAGAGCAACTGTTTTTATTGAGCGGTTCATCCGGGCATTAAACGTTGTTAATATTTTATGTATTTTTTTTTTTTTTATATATTTCCTGTCTTTAAACTACTAAAGCGACAAATTCGCAGCGGGACCGGAAGCTCGGATCGTCAATTTGAGCCGTTGTAAAGGGTGGCGTAAATTGGAGTTAGTGTTGAAAACATTGAGCAGCAAATCGGATTAGTGTTTCCTTTGATCATGAACAAATGTAAAAATTATATGAATATTTTTAGAGAAGAGGACTCTCACCATATTGTAATAAGCAGAATATAGAATTAAATGAGATCCCAGAATCTACTCTAGACCTATATAATAGGGTATAGATCCTTACCGGCTCTCTGGTGCGATAGATTTCGATGAATGAGATATGAAACGGAAGGGAATTACATAATAACTCATATGATTTCAAAAATCGACTAGATAAATCGTATTTTAAAGATTTTGATGTCAAGTTTGTCAATGTGTTTCATAGGGTTGTCAAGACCTGGTATATTCCTTAAGAACTATACCAGGCCCAACGTTTTATAGCCATAAAATGTACATAAAATTTGTAATTAGTTGACTGTCGTGGATAATGAAGAGAAGAATAGTTGGGGTGGTCTCAGTCAAAAAGGAAGGCAAAAATAAATGATAATATTTATTTTTACATATGCCGACTTTTCGACCTGAAGTTCAGGCCTTCATCAGGGCTGTCTCCTTAAGTGTTGCAGGGAGAATTCTCCCATTAGAGAATAGCCTCTATACTCTATGAAGTTTACTTATCGACAGATTAATATCCACTTAGAAAGGTAGAGAACTAAAAACCAAGCCAAGAAACTAGAAACAAAGAAAAAAAAAATGTCTGCATTTATAAGTTACTCCTAAAAGCTTGAGTTAAGCATTTGAAATGTGGTGTAATATATTGATGTTCAGAGATAAAAAGATATCAAGCCAAAAGCATATATAGTTGAACAATGGAATAGATTCTATGCTAAATTTGTTAGAAGGATTGATATGGAAGGAACTCAGGGAAGATTTTCTATGGATGTGAATGAGTTAACATAAGTGAGATAATACAACTGTCGACAGTAAATATCAATTTATCATAACTAGGTGGCTTAAATCTAATTAAATATAATATTAATTCATCTAATTTCGGTAAAAAATATGAGAAACAGATGCGAAAAACTTAGCTGCACAAACATAATTAAGTGTAATGACAAAACAAATTTTAATCTATTTTATTACAATTTCACTAAAATAAATATTACTTTTAAAATAATAATCTAAATATTTTTTATTATTGTTCTTCTTTTTTTTTTCCTTTTATCCTACCCTCCGATTTTATTTAGGAACATGCCATATTTTCATTAGACGGTTCCTTACTAATTTAAAAGCTTGTGTAGTTAAGTTGCTCTGGGGATATGAAGTTGGCAAATAAACGGTTACAGAAAACTATGCAGAGGTATTTTATGAAATTTATCTTACTTATTTCTAATATTTTTTTAGTTTTCATGACTTCTTTACCTAAACACTCAATTCTCCTACCCAAGAATCGGTGTTGGTATGGGAGATAAACTATTATATATATGGCTGCTGTCATGAAAAAAAAAATGAATAGAAAAACTCTATGTTAATTGAATAAAATATCGTGCGGTCATTTTATATAATCTGCCCTATTTATTAAAATGTATTCGAAATCCGTTTTTCGACTCTCAGGAGGATTGAATTTTGATTAATGGCAAATTGAAATTTCGGCGAATTTCACTGAGAAGTGGAGAATTTTTAATACCATAGGGTAAAACTTTACTACAACTACGACATAAGTCATGAAAAAAAGTTGGGAGATTTCAAAACTCAGATGATTTCGAAAGCCGATGGGTGAAAACGGGATATATGTTCTTCTGAAACTATACCGTGTTTATATTGATCTGAAACAATTGTGTATGTTGAATAGACTATCTTAATAATAGTATATTGCATTTATGAATAAACATATTTCTCTGATGTCGATTATACTTCGAATTAAGAAGAAGGATAGCTATATATTTTTTAAAATTTATTTCTTGAGCAATACAATATTTTTTCACATGTACAATAATTATAGTCAGGTAAGGCTACATTCCCACTATAAGAGCAGAAAGTATAAAATAAACAGAAGAAAAATAAGAACTAAATTATAATCAAAAAGTATATACAGTAAATAAAAATAAAATAACTTAAAGATAAGTAAATTTAAAAAAAAACATAAACAACGACATAGAGATACCTACATACACTATTTACAATCAGGCGAGGGAACTCCATCCAGCCATGTCCCTCCAACTGCAGAAGGAAAAGAATGACTAGGAGTTAATCTCTCAACCACGTCACTGGTACTAAAGCCAGTAGCTATCAAATTTAGGAGTCCTCATGGAAGCTTGCTAGTATTAACTGTTATAGTATTATTATTGTAACTGAAAACATTATACGGTGTCTATGCTGATATTGAAATCGAAATAGTTTTAAAATATAATATTAAAAATTGTCTTTACTGCAACTGCAAGAAATTGCGGAATCGTGCTTTCCATATGCTTTGCGCCTAGTATCTCCTTATCTTTCTTATTCGTTCTTCCTCAGCAATCTCATCTTTTCTAATAGTTATGGCAACGAGTCACCTACATCCTAAATTACAGGTTGGACTGGCATTCCCTCCTCAGCTGGATAAGAAAGGAGGTATTCGATGGAAGCAGAAGATAGTGTCATCAGTACATTGTGTGGCCCAAGAGCCCAGCTCGGGTATTCAGATGTTAATATGGACTGGGATGTAGAAAGTCCTCCAGCTACTGTAATTACACGACCCATCGGCTTTCTAGTCAGCATCCTCCTGTCTGCTCCTCTTTAATCTTATCTTTATTTCCTTTTATGTTTACTCCATCCGAATCTATTAGTCTTAAAAAAACAATATATATATATATATATATATATATATATATATATATATATATATATATATATATATTTTATATTAACACGGTATAGTTTTATATATATATATATATATTTTATATTAACACGGTATAGTTTTATATATATATATAAAACTTAAGATATGACTTATAGTCATGAAATGGGCATCTTTCAAGTTATCAAACAGCGACACGGAACTGATATTGCCAAAAATATATTCAAAACTGTTTAAAAAAGCGTCAAAAAGCTTTCGCATTTGGAACCGAAAGAAGGTATTTCTTTTAAAGTGCAGAAAATATAATCTGTTTCCACCACACATCCTAGATATCACTAAGAATATTTATCACCTTATTCCTAAAAGTTCGAAGTTTATAAAACTATTAGAGAATATCATATCCAGAACACAGAGCTCAATTTTGAATTTGGAAATAAAAGAAATTTCTTCAACCATGCCATGTATTGGATACAAAATAGATAACATTTTGGTAGAACTGTCTGACAAAATGGATCGAGAAATGTATAAACTAAAAAAAAAAAAAATTCATGACCTATTATCCGACTATAATTCATATCTTAAGTTATAATATATAAAAATCGAATTATATACAAAAAAAAACCATTGTAATATTATATATACATATACAAAATGAGTAGGAAGGGACTGGCCAAACTCCAGGAATGGATTGCACACAGTAAAATAATTTAAAAAAACTTTATCCATTTTTTATGTTATCCGATTTTTTTTAAAAAATTTATTGGCCAATTAAAAATAAACAAATTGTCAATTACAAATAAACAAATTGTAAATTACAAATGTCAATATAATGAAAAAATTAAATAATTCAAAAGATAATAAGATGAAGGAGTCATCTCCTATTTTTTTTACGTAATCGTTATGGACCAAAGAGAAAATTACTATAATATTCCATTCACCTTATAAACCAAAATGTTTATGAATTTGCTATAGCCTACATCTCACCTAGTAATGTTCCGAATTCGAAGATTTGTTTTTTTAGGGAATTTATTAATTATTCAAATAATCATAGGTAAAGTAAATAAAACATATGTATACCTTTTGAATTATTCGCAAAGTTTCTTTTCCTTCATAACTTCAGGAGGTTCCTGACATATGACTATTTTTCCCACCTGGAGGAGAAGATCCTCAAAATGAGGTCTCACACACCTTTGAGAAATAATATACAAATATTTTATACATGTATTAGCATTTCGGCTATCGAAGTCTTTTTTTAACCAATGTTAAAAAATACTACCATTAATTTTAAACATTTTCGGCTTCGTCTTCGTCAGGGCGAAATAAATTTTTAATTAAGGCATCCCAAGTGCCTACTTTTACTTTGTGTATCTTTGAATCAGCCCCATAAACAATAATCCAGCACTGCAAGGCCTAGAGATCTTCAGGGTCAACCAATCTCACGATCTGGAAATATTTCATCCAAATGTTGCCTCATCTGAAAAGCGAAACGAAACGATCGGAAGCTGTTGTTATGCTGAAGGTGCATTTATGTCTGATATTTAGAGAAACTATATATTCCTTTCATTTCAAATCGTAAAAAAAAAGAAGTAGGATTCTCCTGGGAGCGGGGTGGCAGAATGAGCTAACGCGTGTGCACAGCACCACGAGTTGCCCGGCAATCGAAGTTTGAGAAAAAAAAAACGAGTTCCGAAGAGGATTTTAAATTCCCCGCTCTCACCCCCTGGCCCGGAAAAAAACCCATATAGTGTAAAAGACGCGGTAGGAAAGAACAGAAAAAAAAAGTATTTCCTGTGAGACGATTCTCTAAAATAACTTATTTACAAATTGTAACTTTGCATTGTAACTTGATATATTCAAATATTTCCAATTAAATCTTTTTTAAACCAAGTTCAACATTAAATTTATTTTAGATTTTCAGAATTTTTCGCTATGTGAGATTATAGATACTTTTATCTAAAAATTCCGAAAAGCTAAAATAAATTAAATGTTGATTTTTTATGGAAAAGATTAAATTAGTTCTAATTTATCTTGGAAAACGTTGAAAAAGACTTGGAAATGCTATCCATATATGTAGGTATTAAAGATCTAACTGTAAGAATACATTCTTGGAAAATTGTGACTAAATAGTGCGTCAGTAGATCCATGTCAACTTTAGGATTAGTGTGTTGTAAGAAAGATGTGTTTATAGTGCAAAGATTATGCCAAAAGATAATGTGGCCAGAACTGCCCTTAAACACTAGATCATTTCTTCAATCCATTGACGGATTGGATCCATTTCTAGTATAACAGAATAAATTAATAGTGCTAAAAATAATTTATCTACCACAATCTGAAAAGTCAATTTTAATGAATAATTGTTGATAAATAATTTATCAATTGTTTTTTCCAATTAAAGTAAGTAATTATTCAAAATTAACCTGCTGAACGTTACAAAAGTATTTAAACTTATAAAATAAAATATAATGAAATGAATATAATTTTTTATTTTGACTGATCACCCCAACCATCTTTCTCTTCAATTATTCACTACAGTCAACCATCAACCCACAATTATTAAACCTTTTTAAGTAAAAGTCTTGCACATCTTGTAGCTAATGAAAGTTTTATAGAACTTTTTTGAAATGTTTTATTGAAAAGTTCTATTGAAGTAATTTAATAGAATAGTAGGACAATTAGTGGATTTTTAATATAATAATCAGACTATTTATTGACGATAATTATATCTGCAATCTAAACCTAATTTATTTTTTTCTCATTTCATGTAACTTTTTTTTAAATTAACTAGATGAATTAACGTTGAAATTTTACAATAACCATAAGAACTCGTTTGCAAAAAAGTCGTATGACAACTTGAAATAAAACTGAAGAGAAGTTGTATGGGGTGTTAAATCATAAAATAAATAGCAAAAATAAATAAATAATATTTTATTTTATTTTTGCCGACGTTTCGGTCCCAAGTTAAGGCCTTCTTCAGGGCTGAAGTTTGGGCCGAAACGTCAACAAAATATAATTTATTTTTATTTATCATTTATTTATTCTGAGTGGTAAATATTCAGAACTCAGTCATTATAAAGTTTTTATTAGTGCCGACGCTTCAACCCAAACATTTGTCATCATCAGAGCGTGGTTCAAGCACTGAAGATATTCGAGTACTTGAATATCTTCAGTGTCACGCCCTGATGATGACCCACATGTTGGGGTTGAAACGTCGGCACTAATAAAAACCTTATAATGACTGCGTCCTGAATATTTATCATCCATGATATATAGAATAGTCGACTAATATCCTTCAATTATTTATTTATTCTTTTTATTTTTTACTGGAAAACCCACACATCTCAACACTTAAATTTCCACGAGGATCAACCATTAATCCACTGTTATAAAATAAAACTTTGAAAACATTTCCTTTAAACTTTCAATCCCTGGGGGGAAAGCGATATAGGAGCCAAACTTGCGTGTTTACTAAATCTTATTATTGTTGCTACTATTTATTAAATTTTAATTCAAACCATTCGACGATGTCAAGTAGTAATCAATTGTCATTATCAAAAAATCTGTAAGTATATGAACTAACCTTTCAACGTGTGAGCTATATCTCAGCTAGACGGTTCAGACGTGACTCGACGTACTGAAATCTTTGTTGTGAGGCAACTTTTATCATGATATATAAATTTAAATTACCTCATTTATTCTAATGTCAGATTTCATTTTACTTACTAACAATTGATTTTAAAGGATAGTTAAACTCGAAGAGATACTTAAACTGTAACAGTTATTGATAAAGGTGACTGTCCAGTATCAGTATTGAAGAATAAGATCAGCCCGGAGCACTTAAGATCCTGTTGTAAGAGTGAACGGGTCATTAGATATCGTTTGTGGGTCACTGGGCTTTAGTATGCTCTGAGGTATATTCCTCCCCGGCTCAGCCTTCCATCTCTCTTCTTCCTACCTCTTTGTCGCCTTTCTGTCGCCGGAGAAAAGCGGCTATGATTTCCCAATTCCGCTTAAGGTTAGACGTTTTCACTGACGATTTCCAGGCGGTGCGACATCGCTTTCTCCTTTCTGTGGCTGTGTTCATCAATATAGAAACACTGTTATTGTGTGACTTTACAGTTTCATTTTCTGTATATTACCAGCAACATCATTACGTGTATGGTAATGTATAACGTCTATCAGACGTTGCCAGCAGTTAACGATTGCATACGGGCCATTTTCAAATTATTCTGGGAGAAATCACAAGGACGTATTCTAACTCATAAAAAGCATGGCCACAACCTACATGCTCGATTATATCCACTGAAGGCTATAGAGAATCTAGAAGTGAAATTTTTAACTATTTACATTTACAATGGTAGCTTGCATCAATTTTAGTTGTAGACAGCCGTACAGACCCCATTCAATCATATCTTTAACATCAGCCTTACATCAAACTAAAAACGAAAATGATTTTGTGTTATCATAACTTAAACTTTATTATCTACTAAGAATCTCAGGAATGGGGCGTTTTCTCTTATTAATTTAATGAAGTACTAAAAAATAATTTGTTATTTGCTATCCCAAAAAAACGTGGCCTACCTACAATGTGTTATTTTGATATGTTGGGGATGAAGGTCACGCCAAATCGCCCAATATTTTGTAGGTCAGCTTTGTGATCAAATTATCTTGCGATTCAAGAGAAAAGCAAATGGGTATTGATGAGTTTTAAATGTCTCATTAAAGAGACAATGTTTACAGATTAAGATAATTCACGAAGTTTTTTAGGAATCTTAATAATTTGGTAAAAAGGGGTCTGCACCCTGGACTATTATGTAAGATCTTAATACAAATATTCAGTTGTCTTAAAACAGGGGTTTACAACATTGCAATATTTCACATTTTAAATTAAAAACCAATAATATTTAGTTATTACAATAATAAATATAAATGCCAGTTTTGAATAGTTGCTTGTATGATAATTTTTAAATGA